CAATCCTAAAAGACTAAAAAATCCTGAAACAAGTGTTATACTTCTGCTTCTGGGTCGTCCAGTTCCTCTGATCTATCTAATGCCCCTTGCGACATGCGGAGATGCCCTCTTGATCTACTTCTGGACATAAATGTAAATTCCCTATGCCCACGTTTTTGTTGAACTCTTTGATGATTGTGATAGGAGTAAAATCGAGGGGTGTGGGTTGCTATTTTGTTAGGAATATTGTAAAATTAAATCTGTTGTTCGTGTGCTGGTGCAAATAACTTTGGAGAGAAAATATGTAGCTTTTCAAACGTTGCTTTCTTAGTACTTTTATTCATCATTCAACTACGCATAGTAAAAAGTTGGGAAAGGGATCATGGAGTTCAGAAAACGTGCGCAGATTATGCTTTCCCCATAGATCACATGGTTTTACTGATTTTGTCGCAATATAAATGAAATTCATGGGGATAGGACAACCCGAAAACCTAGAAAGCTCACATCGAAAGAAATCCACGATGCGTCTTATTGTAGGCACATTTTAATTTCTCGACTTACAACTTACGTATGTAGTAAAGAGAAATATTGCAATGATGCGGCAGACATCGGCGGTTTTTTTTGTACAAAAACTCGTATTGTGGGGTCGAAAAACAGATAAATATTATTTCTATATGTGGTAAATTACTTCATCTATCACGTGGCATAGTCAGAATTCGAATGTTGTTGGTTCTTGAGACTGAAATATATATCAACGGCAAAACGAGTCTGTCGGTCCGTCTGTAGTCAAGGCTAACGCCTAAACCCTGCAGACAATTGTCTCCGAAATTGATCTGGGCGAACTTGAGGCCCTCATTTTGATTTTGAAGAGTATTTACAGAACGTCTCAAATCCTTTTTAAAAATTTTCCCAAAAATGACTCCATTTTTTAATTCACGTTTTTCCTTGGATAATGGAAATGACACTTAAGAAAATGACTCAGATCTCAATTTCGTTGATATGTCTTATTTTTCGAACAATACAAAAGTTCAATTTTTAAGGCATTTTCCTAGAAGTATGTATATATGTATATATGTATATATGTATATATGTATATATGTATATATGTATATATGTATATATGTATATATGTAGATATGTAGATATGTAGATATGTAGATATGTATATAATTGAAGAAAAATATTTTTCGTGAATGATATCAGTTGTTTGAAGTCAGATCTAAACATTTGGGGACCATACAAAATTTTTCAAAAATATGTGTGAACGTCGCGAAATTATGCGTGAAATATAGCAGTATTTAAGCAATTGTTTTCTAGAAAATGGTTCCAATTTTTTCCGTTTTTTTCTTAGAACATTGCTTAGAGCATTAGACGCTTAAAAATGAAGCACGTTCCAGTGAGCTCTGTATTTTCGAATATTACAAAAAATTGCATTTCAAAATTACAATATTAATGTTAGAGTTGTTTTATTGAATAAAAAATGTTCTGAAAAATTAGATATTTAAAAAAGGTCGTATAGAGTTTTTTTAAGAATGTTATTTTTGCTTAGAGTTAATGCATTTTGTAGAAAAATTTTTCTCAAAAATGGCTCCATTTTACATTGAATTTTTTCTTCGGATTGAGGAAATGATGCTTAAAATAGCGCTGTCACATTTTCGGCGTGTTCTCTGTATTTTCGAAAATTGGAAAGAAAATTTTAACATTGCCAAACAACAATATTGACGATAGAGATTTTCCCTCCATGAAATCTGGTCTTTGAACTATATCTTGAAAAAATGTAATTAAAAATCTCTAAATTTTTGAAAAATGCAAATTTGGGGGGCAAGGGTATGAGCGGACCGCATCTACCATCCTACAGGGTTACCAAAACTTCCAGGCCCCTGGATACGCTAAACATAGCCGAAATCATACTTCAGAAAAACCACGTCTGGTAATAGCGATTTGCGTTTGCAGAATTTCGTCCGTGAAATAATACATACTACACTTAAAGGACTAGGCAGTTCTCGCGCCCGGAAACATCAATGAATGAATCAGTCAATCAACATTTAGCGACGATTTTCGGGTTTGAGTGTCGCAAGAAACGAATGAAACACCGCATTTACTACGTGCAAGCCAAGAACACATTATTAAGCTTGGCCATCATCAGATACACCGTTTGTGTCTGGCCCCTTTTGGCTGAGCTGGACTGAAGGACGGCATCTCTATACGGCGAATTCGCCCCTCAATTAATTTCTGAGGAGGATTGGACCGAGAGGCTGCCTGCAACGCACGTTGTTGTCCGCGGCCTGCGACAAACATCCCGTCCCGTGCAGTTGCCAAAGGGTCGTGTCAACGGTACGGTAACGCACCGACTCAGATAACAAAGCAGTTGCCAATTAATAATGAACATTCAAATTAGGATGTCGGTCGACCATAATTAGCCGATAATATGTACTACATGTATAGCATAGCATATACATAGCAAAAAGCTATGAAAATACATGTATGTCATAAGATTCTTTTTTCTCGTTAATGAGCACACATCGTCACTCTGGCAATGAGACTGTATGAACACGTGTGTGTAATTAATAACTTTGAATTAACATCATACCTCAGCCCAGGACCTCCCAATTTTCCTGAGATCTCTTGAGCCGGCATTATTTCGGACGAGGCCAACGGCATACATCTCGCCCAACCTACCTATGTACTTAACCTCTATCACATTTTATGAATGTTATGAATGGCCCGTCGCATAAACGTACGGCCCATCACATAAAATTGGCGCACCAAAATGTATTTCTTTTAAAAATATTATGACGCCAGGTCATATAAAATTGACGACCAATGTGTTTCTTATTACATGTTTAAGGCATGAAGGAATATCCATCACAGTCCCGGGTAGAAAGAAAAACAGGAATCATTGGAAAAAACAAATTAGAGAAAGATTATAGTTAGAAAAACCAAGATGCCAAAGGGGTAACCAAAGTGGGAGTGCTAAAAGAGGTGTAATTACTAGAGTAAGGAGTGAAACTCAAGCTCAGGGTGTAGGAAAGGAAGTGTATGTCATGATAGAAAGGAGGGCGAAACTAAGTGAGGGACTTTGAAATACATGTTCTGATTGCATATGTGTAGGGAGCCACAGAAATTTTTGAAAGAAGGGGGCGATGAGTATGCTGATGAATGGGGATGACTGTAATACTAGAAAATGAAATAGGCGACGAAGAATGCAAAAGATATGGATGTTATTAAAGACGGGAACATTTTATTGAAAAGGAAGAATGGATAGTAGTGAAGTAAAGTAAAGACAATTTTTACCTCCTAAATTTCATTGTAGGAAATGCTATTAAAGAAGGGGTGGAAAAGTGATTTTCTTAAATCTGAAGCCTACGTTTAATAATGAATATTGAGGGGTATTATGAGAGATAACGAGGAAGAGTGGTATAAGTAGGTATTTATTGCCATTATTGAAATATAGGCCATTATTGAAATTTGTTTTAAAACAAAGTGTAGAGTTAAGGTAGAACAGAAGGTAGAAAGAGAGATGCTTTTTGAACAGAGAAATGAGCGAGGCAAAGTTGCTCATTGAGTTCAGTGTGTATAGGAGGATTGAATGGTCACTGGCAGGAACATTAATAGCCATTTATGCGGATGATTTGATAATGGCCGGAGGTGAAGCAGGTATGAAAAATGTATTCAAGTGGAAAGAGTTTTCGATTTTTTTATTTTCTTACTTATTTTTCGTCAAAAAAAGTAGAAACTCTGTGAGGCATGGAAGAAGTATAATCAGCGTACTTTTTCTTCAGTTTCAGATTCTCTTCCCGTATCTTTACTATACATAGTTAGATGATGAATAAATGTTCCAACAAAGAGAGGTTAGCAACTCTTGAAAATGTATAAAATTTCGCTCCCGAGTTACAGAAATCTTATTTGCATCGGTAAACGAACTACAGATTTGATTCATAGAATTGCTAACAAAATACTAACCCACACCCCCGGCAATAATCCTATCACAACTAGCAAAAGAAGAGCTCAATAAAAGGTACTCATAGTGAAGCTACATTTACGCCTAGAAGCAAAACAAGAGGTCTTCTCATCATTTGCTCAATAAATCACGGAAACTGGACGAAAAACCTGACCGAGACGGATTTCATTGACCCAGTAGTACATCGTATTTACTCTTTTTTAAAATTATACAGTACAAATGCTACCTAATTCACTAAGTATCATTATTAAAATAAGTATTATTTTCTTTTTATTGGTGAGTATATTCTCTAATAGTGTGTAAATAGTTATGCAAAAATAATTTATACACTCTATACTCAATACACTTAAACGTCTGTATCGATTTCAATTTTTTAATATCATCTGATGATGTATTGTAAAGTAAATTACATGTATTATACGAATTTCTTGCTGTGAACTGTTGAAACTGATACCTGATGAATATGATTCCTACGGGACGAATGTAACTGAAAGTTAGTGTAAGATTTCTACTTGGAGATAGCACTTTACTCCAATTTAAACTCTCGAACCGCCTCTCCTTCAAAACTATATGAGAATCCCATGTAAGGCATGAATGTTTTCACCCTGTATTCTTCGTATGGAGGCCTTCTGACAATCTCATTTATCGTACGCACAACACTCTTTTTATCATTTCCACCATGGAAATCTGAAAAAAATTATAAGCGAGGTACTTCGGACACCGTGGAGATGAAAAAAAGAGTCGGATTATTCACCCCAATCCCTCTCCTCTCGCGATTTATAAGAGTGGATATGGACCCTAAGGACACCTCAGCACTTATAGAAAATAAGCTTAGATGGTCGTACGGGCTTTTCCAGACTGCCTGGATGGGGCCAGGATGCAATTACGCAACCGAACAGTTAAATAAAAAAACCCTGTTGGAAGGCACTTCGGATATGCCGGAGAAGGGAATCGCCGGAGGTGGGGGATCGCAAAGGTCTATAAGAAATAACAGCGACCTAAAACTAATAGTAAAAATCATTAATAATAATAGTAATTAAATTAAGTTTTAATAGCTTACCTTTTGGAAACGACCGTCCAAGGGCATACTCAAATCCCCAATAATAAATACATTTTTGGGATCAAATTTCATGAAGTCATTGTAATCCTGGTTAATTACTGGTCCCCAGATTCCAGCAGAATATCTATGGATTTGTTCACTATCCGACAAACAGCTACCAGTGTCAATGTTAATGCATCGGTCTTTAACATTTGCATCTACTAGATGTTTGGAATCTTCATAGGCTTTCCAAGGCTTGACAACTCCCGGGACAAAGGCATTTCCACTCATAGCTATGGCTCTAGAAAACATACCAGTAGATGGGGAACCAGACATCATATGCAATCCAATACTAATTGCTCCAGCATCATGCCCAAATAGACAAATGTCCTTAGGTGAGCCTTTAAAGAGATGTATCTTTTCTTTAATCCAGTGTAATGCAGCTACTTGATCCATTAATCCAATATTTCCTGGAAATTTCCAAGTTCCGTCTGTCCAAAATCCATGCATGTTTAAACGATATGCCACAGTGACAACAATAACCTGAAGAAATAAAATGAAAATGAGACAACAAACTTTTTTTTTCAGCTATTTAGATTCATTCTTTACAAATTGTATCGTATTTCATCTGCCTATTTATACTAGAATAAAAAATTAAATAAATAACTTAAAATGTTTTTTAAAATGTATAAGTTTAAAGAATGTAAGCCTTGAAATAGGCAGTTGTACTTTTAGAAAATAATTTATAATAGATATTATGAAAAAAAATCACAAACCAACAGGAAAAAATAAGTAAATTATTGCATTGATTAATATTTATAAAAACTTCTTTGTGAATATGAAAAGTATAAATCTTCTTACTTGATTAGCACTTGAGAAGTCCATGAGAATAACACAAGAGAGATGGGTAGAAATAGTTATTTAGGTACTAGTTCTTATTAGCCAAAATATTAATATCGTGCAATTTTTTTTTTTGAAGACCTCCACAGCCATAAAAAGAAAACCGTTTCTCATCATATTTAAACTCTTTCTTGTAGAAGAGTTAGAGTGGATAGTATCACATCAGAAATTGCGGATTGATTTTGTAATAATAAAGTAATCATATGCAAAGGAAAATACATTAATATACGTTTTGGCCATTCCGTAAAACAGATTCAGGAATCAGATATTGCAGGTAAGAATCATTTATTATATTTGGAAAGAGTGATCTTTCAAGGACAAATTTCTCCCCATCATCAGCCTACAACAGAACATTTTTCTTCAGTACATACTGTATAATAATAACGAAAAACCCAACAGAAAAAGTACCCAAATGAAAAAGAGCCGAAACTCACTTTATTGCAACCTCACCATTTGTGTTGGGTACCACCTGATATGTTCTTGTTATTATTCAAAATGCACAGTAAAAAAAGAAAAATGTGTTGTTCTAGCCTGAAGTTGGAGATAAATTTGTCCTCGAAATGTCGCAGTTTTGCAAATATAGTAAATGATTTTTAACTGCAATATCTGATTATTGAATCTCTTTGTTAATAGCCAAAGACGTATATTAATTGAGAATGTCAGACAAAAGTATTTAAAAAATAAATTAATAATAAATATAAACATCTCGAAAATGAATCGTCAATATCACCTGAAAAAATCTTGTTTACAACACAAATTGTTAAGACATTGCAATTGAATTAGATTCACATTTTACCATAATACTTAGCTTATTGTCATGGTAAATATATTTATAATTCGGTGATTAAAATATTATTATTATTATTATTATTATTATTATTATTATTATTATTATTATTATTATTATTATTACTTCCTGTGAGTGAACTCTGTATATTAAGAAAATGTAAACATCATTTATAAAATTGTCAAATGTTCACTCTAAATTTATAAAATTATCAAAACTTTTACCTTTTTAATGCTTGAATGTAAGTGATAGATTAGAACAAATTTTAATTAACTAAAGTTGAGTGTCTTCAATTGAAATAATTAAAGAAAACTAGTTACAAAGGGAAAAGAAAAGGGAGGTCAAAGGAAGTTAAAATAAAAACATATTAATTAAATAACTACCTTATTTTTAGCTGCAAGAGTTGAACCATCCCACAAAGATATAGCACCACTAATAAATTCACCAGGATGTATCCAAACCATTACAGGCCAACCTGGATCTGGTGCATTTCCTGCAAGAAACAAAAATATTGAATCTTAAAGTAATTGCATTTAACCTTGAACCATATAAATCTAGAAAAATAATATATCATAAACTTTTATGTAGACAATACATTACTGCACAATGAATAAAGAACACACAGAAAATTAGAGAATTAAGAATGTCACATTTTCACGGGTCACAACGAGAGGGCAGTTAATTCCAATGATCTAACTTGCAGCACTGCGGGGAAACCAAGAATCGTGTTACCAGCCGTGGAATGAAGCAAGCTTCGCTGTAGTTGCTTACATTGAGAGCCAGTATCGGCCAGTTTTCCGTGACAAACGGACCTCCGTCTGTGTCTGCGACATTATTAATATTCCTCGGCTGCGTGGAGGTGCACCATTTGTCCAATTGACGGAGTTGGAGCAGGGCATATGGTGGGTCTCCACAATGGTGTTCATACCGCAGAATTGGGCAACACATGGGGCAAGAGATCTCCCCAGCGCATCGATGTGGTCGCCAGTGGTTAGCAGAAGGTGCACATGCACTTCGGCCTGGGTCCAGACAGCTACGACGAACGTATGCACGCCAATATCTTACGAAGTGCTGTTTCGAACCGCACTGCGACTTCACACAAGTTAGGGCCACTGTTTCTCTGGGATGTCAGCGAGAACCCTTGGCAACCGTCTCCATGAAGCAGGGCTACGATCATGCGTGTCGTTAGAGCGTCTTTCGCTCACGCTCCAACAACGTGCAATCCGCCTCCCGTAGAATCGCGGTAGGCACTTTTGGAAGGACGAATGGCGACTTGTCTTCAGTGATGAGATTCGCTTCTGCCTTGCTGCCAGTGACGGTCGTATGCGTGTGTGGCGTCGTTTAGGTAAGTGCCAACTTCTCGAGTGTATAAGACTGGCACACAGAGCCAACACATGGTATCATGGCGTGGGGAGTAATGAATAGCATATCCTATTCGTCGTATTACAGTGGTCGTTCTGTCTGGCGATCGTAGAGGGAATATTAAACAGTATTCGGTACATTCAAAACATCATTCAAACCGACTTGCACCAACAAGTCGATTTCTTTCTTCAGCAGGGCAATGTGCGTCCATACGCAGCCCTTCCCACCCAACGTGCTCTCCATGGTATACGCCAATTACCCTGACCAGCACAATCCATAAATCTGTCCCCATGAGCACTTTATTGACTGGCTGAAACGTGATAGTGCACTCTCTGTAAGACCACCAACAATCTGTCTCCAAAAAGGCACCTGGTAAACGTTGCATAGCAGGTCACTCTGCAAGACAATATTCGTCACCTCCACGATCGTCTCCTTGAGAGAATTGCAGTCTGTATTGCTGCGAACGCACGGTATACTGGGTACTAGCTCTGTCGATGGTACATATATGCGTATGGCTCTGTTGGTGTGATCGTTTGTTGTATACTTTCTCGAGAATGTGTCAATAAAATTTCCCTCTGATGGGTCCACAAATTCATGGTGTCCGTTTTTAGATTCCATTAGTGTACTAATATAGCTCATTAGGCACAACTGATTGTTTTATTTAACAAGATTTATCCATTTTATTGACATCAAAAACACACAATACGAGCTTTTATGAAAAAATCGCCCTTTTCACAGCAATGTTGCAATACTTTGTCTATATTAATTATGTAGTATGTGATAAAGTATCTACTAATGATACAACAGTACATGCTTTCTCGAATTATTTGTAAAGGCTACGTAATATTACAATTCCACATGAAGCAGCAAAAGTATTTCCAACTTGCAAGAAATTAACTCCGCTGGGATTCGAAGTCACGCCTTTAGAGTTTGTACGTCTTGTACGTTACCCTCACACCACGAGCCTCAATGCTAAACTCAACCTTCCGACGCTTTACAACTAGTGGTGCGGCTTTTCTTACGGCAATTTTACATTACCGCTGTACACTGCATTGGACAACAATGCGAGAAAGTATGTGCACTATGAACTTCTCAAATATCCATCACTGCATTGTTGTCCAATGCAGTGTACAGCGGTAATGTAAAATTGTTGTAAGAAAAGTTCGGACAAAATTGTGGTACTCAATTTTTTTCAATGTTTCTTTCATATTATATGTAAATCGAATTTTTAAGATAGAAAACCTAATTTCTAGCTAGTTTCATTAAGAAAAGAAAGTACATCAATTGATTGAGAACACAAATTGTGGAATAGAGTAAAAATTAAATTAGTATTGGGATTTTCAGTAGTAAATTATAATTACAATTAAATGAATTCTTTTCATATTCTTTTACTTCAATATTTCCTTAGGTTTTTATCGTGGCCCATAATTGGTGGGACAACTGTATTTCATTAATTTGAAGCAGAAATTTTGCGAAGTATACTATTTTCTTCAAATGTATATGACCTTTTTAATGAGCTGATTGTTCAGAACCGATTTTGTTTAAGACAAAAATTTCAACTTTCCATTTTGTACTTTCCAAATGTGAAGTTTTTGCAATTTTCGAAAATAAAGAGAGGTCAACGAACATGAGACTAGTGCCATTCTTTTAAGCGTCCCTTCTTCCATCCATTAAGGGTGTGTTATTATGCGTATCTTTCATTGCTTTCTATACAGTACGTCTTTTTGCACTTAGAATGCCTCTGTTCCACTATGTGACTATTCCATTCTTCGATCGTATTTAATGACCTGCCTCATTAGGGGGTCATCTTTATGACTGGCTACATACATTCCCATTCCGACTACTGTATTATTATTATTTTAATCAAAAACTGACAACCGATAACGCGAAACCATTCTCAATCATCTCAATTACATTCTACGACGTGCCACGTATGGAGAAAGTCATATTCCATGATCACACGGGATCCGACGTTCGACTTCCGCGCGCGTCGGCGAGGAGTTCGGAAGTCAGGGGGGAGAGCGCGCTGCGCCGGGGGTCGAAGGCAAATTCGTCTCGAAAGCAGGAAGCCAGACCGGTGTCGGAAGGAAGTCGCGGCCGAGAACGGGGTGCGAGGAGACTTGAATTCGAGATCTGATAACGAGCGGACGTGTCGACACTGGATACGACAAGCTGCATGAAATTGTGGACTAGCACGTCGTGGCGACGCCGAGGGAACTAAATCGAAGGTAATCTGGGTACGTAAACTCAACATTGCCTGTTGAAACAGTAATGTGCGTCCACAGGGCGGAAATATTTTATGGAACTAAATTTGCTAACTGCATTAGAGAGTTTAGATATATTTGGTTGCCCGTTTGTTGATGCCTGCGAGGTGAACTGATCTTCATCAGCTACCTATGCGCCAGCACTTAAATGTGATTCTACTAGTGCGAAAAGACCGGGCCGTTAATGAATTAATTGCCTAATTTTGTCGAAAATTATATTTTTGGTACCCTGTGTGAGAAATGAAGTACTATAGTTGCACGTGATGAGACGAGAGACATGTGAAGGCATTATAAAATGGCATGAAAAGGAGCCTTGTAAGTGAAGATAATAAGAAAAATGCACTCACGCTAGTGTGAGATTTTAGGCAATTTTGAAAACGTGGATGTCTGTTACAGAGTGTGGAACTGAAGTAAATTAACATGGGCGTACTTGGACTGAAATCATATTGGCAAAATCGATAGTCCAGAGTAGAATAGAAATTGGTATGAGTATGCTGAATGGTGCATTACGTTCCTTACTTAAGTGAGAGAAAAGTAACATCCTACCAAGGTCGCGGTAGGATCGAAGTGTAAGGCGACCCGTCCAGAGGGCAGCTTAAAGTGTTCATGTGAGCTGTACCGAAGAGACGCGACCAAACGACCCGAGGAGCTGCTGGAAGGACAGACATTTTGGCCGAAACGCGTGCACAAGCAAGGGTGAGGACTCGGCGAGGCCCCATGTCGTTTGGGTGAGCTCTCGCCCGCGCTGCCGGTGCCAGCGACTAAGTGAACTCTCAGCAGCTGAAGGATAGTGGAAGGCCAAGGTTACCTGGAGGGTGAAGCGAAGGGTTTTGATTGATTGATTGTTTGTGATTTCGGGCACGTCAACTAGAAGGGGGGGCGAGTCCCGTAAGTGTAGTGCATGTTTTTGTCCGGGCGGTGATCTTTCCTCCGTTGTATGGCAAGATTCAACACCGACCTGCCGTGGGCTAGCGGGTTTTTCCTCAACCACGTATCTCCCACCAATTAGGCACCACCCAACCGCGACAAGCTCTATAGCCCCGACCGGTCTCCCGGCATGTGTGATAGTGTAGTGCATGTTAGTGTAAGTGTATGTGTGTGTGTGTGTGTGTGTGTGTGTGTGTGTGTGTGTGTAAGGATAGGACAAGGAAGAGGCGGTGAGATCGCGCGCGGTCCGTGGTCCGTTTGTTAGGGTACTGGCATTCGCCTGGTGTTGATCGGAGGTACCACGGAAAACTACCGATCAGAGCAGCCGGCCGCTAGAATTCTCCTCCAGACAGCGACTGAATTCGACCTAGCTAACAAACTAGTGTCGAAAATGCTTCCACCGTCGGGACTCGAACTTAGTACCTACCGGTCGGACTGAGTGATCAGTTGATGCCCTGAGCCGTCTCTCCCGTGCGACGCGAAGGGTCGCTGGCGGGGTTGCCCAGGAGATTAATTACGAGTAATGTATTAGGAGAGTGTATTTAAATGTGTTCTTGTACTAAGGCATTTAATGTGCTGAGTAACGAACTTCAACAAAATGAATTCAGTGCAAAATTAGAATGAAAACTAGGCGTCTCTGACCTGCCATAGTTTGATGAAAGCACATTAAAATTGAATTCGTGTATTTTTCACGCGTTTTGGGGGGATTTATATATAGTACAAGAAGCAGATATATTTTCTGGGTTACAGAAGATAATTATTATGCATGGGAGAATAAGATGAAATATTATGAGATTTGAATTAAGAAGGTTTAGAAAAGATGTATTTTATGAAGTCAGACAAGCAGTATAAGCGTAAATTTAGCGTTACCAAAGAAATTGGTAACTTCAAAAGAAACCAAAAGCTCAGGTTCTTCTAAAAATATCGTAGGAATGTTGTG